CAGATAAATTTGATGATGATCCTCCAGCTTGACGATATCCTCCCGCTCTGTGTTGAAGTTTTAAATAGGGCAAGCGATCTCCACACTTTGGTCTCCTTGGGGGTGAATCCACTTTCGTCCACCGACGTCGACATTCGCCAACTCACAAGAGCTCTCCAGCCTCTTAAGGGCATCAACTATGAAGTACTTAATGTAGAAGACACCGGGAAAATGTTCAAATAGCAGCCACCGCCACTATTCTCCTTTCTTCTCTCTGCCTCAGGTCAGATGCCACGCCAACCTGTGACATGGCACTGGCCAAGCGCCTCTGGATTTCGCGCGTATGTAAAGCGTTGTTATCTCTCCAATCCACCTCACCACAGAGCCCGCGCACCAGCGCCTCCCTCGGGCCGACAACTTGCGGCATGCCACGTGTCAGACACTATTGCTATACACTTGCTGAGCCAGCGCCTCGCCAGCTGCAAGTGGCCAGCGCCCCGCCCCTCACATGCTGCCAACGCTTTGCTTCCCACTAACAGCCAGCGCCTCGCTGCTCGCAGAAAGTCAGTGCCCCGCCTCCCCCAACCGGCCAGCACCGCCCCCACCAGCATTCAGCATAGCGCTGCCTGCACGCCGTCATCGCCTCGCTACCCGCACGCCACTCAGCGCTAACGAGCGCTTGCATTCACCAGGCCAGATACATCCTGTCGCAACCATAATTAGTAACCTTTTTTTTTTAATAAAACTATAGTATTTTTTCAACTCACCTTTCAATACCTACCCACCACTATTTCTAAGGCTATATAGGGAACCCCTTCCTACATAATTTTCTCGCAATGAAGGGATTGCATATTGCCTCTTGCCTCGGCCTGGAAAGCATGCAACGGGGGTGTGCCAAGGGTTTTAGGAAAAAGTGACAATGGATTTCCAGATGGGAGCTGAAATCTCCCATGTAGTTTTGTTTATGGTCGAAAGATGATGGCGAATGGCGAAATGGCGGGCAGGCTATGCCTATCTAATTCAAAAGTATCTTGAACATCATACCCTGCTCTACAACGTTTTTTACTCAGTCGGAACGGTGCAGGGGTGTACGAGGGATCCGTGCTATGAATGAGCATTTGAGGATGGTCTCACAGAGCTCAAAAATGGAATCAAAACAGCGCAGTCGTGAAACTCTTCCCGCGGCTTCTGGGTCTCTACATGGCACGTAGTCGAACCTTCCCAACCTTCAAGTAAGCCGTTAGGTGCGGCGACAATCAAAACACAAATTGCGGGGCCACTAGGGAGCAACGATCAGCCACAGAATAACAATGAACTTATTAAATGGCGGCAAGATAGAGTCAGGAGGAAAAACAATGTCCACAATCACAAACCCAGAGTTGCCGAAGGCCAAACACTATGTTTTGGAAGGGAACTGATATTGTCGCTTGATCTGTGCTACAATATCGCATACGTTCTCCTCCCATACATGTGACAAGACAAATAAGTGTATCAATTAGCCGATGCTACTCTTTCTTGCAAGCCGAAGAGTACACTGGGAGTGATACACACATTCATCTTCTAAGTCCCATGACTCCAAAGATGAGCATCAGTCACGTACGAGCCATACAAGCGGAATTGTAACAAGTATTTCACTCACTACAGACTTGCACTAACATGCAAAACGAGAGGTGGTCAATGAAGAGAAATTCCTGTAACTATCGTTCGTTAGCGCATCTCACCCAGACTGCCGATCGTTCACACAACTTAGCTAGTTCTCATCCAAGGAAAGCTCATGCATCCAAAATGTGAGATCGTGCATTCAGAGAGAGAGAAGATCAATTTCATGCATCCATAGATCAGTGGAAAAAAGGATCTCAAAGGAAGTTAGCATTCATTCCAATCAATGGCAATCATACCTCGAGTGAAGTTGAAAGGCTCTTGTGCTTTCAAGAGATCAACGCCCCGTGCGTTCATCTTACAAGTGGAAGAGTGTAACGAGAGACACTCAAAGAGAAGGGAAGGACAAAAGACCCCCGTTGGCATTCACACAACGATTGACTCGAACATCCATTCACACAACGATTGACTCGGACATCCATTCTCATAGTCACGTTCGGGGGACTGATAAACAAAGAAAAAACATTCACGGACGAAATAGAGATGGAAAAAAATGGCGCTCCACCATGCATCATAGATCAAAAAAGAGATAGAGAGAGAAATAAGTAAGACGCAGATGTGTCCGCTCTCATGGGCATGGCACCCTGGCCAGCCAACGAACCACCATCTCTTACCCTACCTAAGTACCGATGATCCCCGTTGCTGCGCGATTGGCACTCCTGCCAGTGGTTTGAACTTGGTAACGTGATTGATGTTTAGCTTCGGGTACTGGGCCCGTTTGTAATTGAAAATGTCACGGTGGCTCATGGTAGGTTTTTCTTTTTTCGCTTTTTGAAAAGTCAATGACCTTGATATTTTTATTTGTTTCCCCCCAAGAGAACTAAGCTTTATTATTCTCTCAATTTCACCTTTCACTATCTACCTACCATTGCTCCTAAGGCTATACAGGGGACCCCTGCAAGCATATTGGGATGCATGTTGCCCCCGCCCTAATCGGGGGTGGTCAGGGAGTAGGGTGGGACGGCCAGTAAAGGTATGGCTCTGGGATGTTTCTTTAAAAGAAAAGAAAAAAAAAGATAACGGTGGGGCCGCCGGTGGGGGTGACCGGCTAACACAAAGACCCAGCATTTTGACAGTGGCTGCACCTCCCTTCTCATTGTCCCCCCCCCCCCCCCCCCCCCCC